ATAGGGAAAGTGTTCCAACCCTTTTATCATTCGAGTTGCCCTTTTCTGCACTTTTCCCAAAGCTAAATCCCTGTTGAGAATCCCTCCCCCCCAGCCCTGACCGCCCGAGAGTCGTGATGCGAAGTGGAGGGGGACCAAAGAGCCCCGGAACCTTCGTGCTGGCGGAGGGGGGACGGCGTTGAGAGACGGACCAGGGCTTGCCCTTGGGCTCCCGCGGCCTTGTGCGTCGCCGTTTCTGCTCCGGGCGGCCGCCATGTCGTACGAGCTGCACTTGCGGCTGCCGGACGAGGCGCGCTCGCTGCCGCCCACGCCGCTCCTCAACCTGGGCTCGGTCTGGATGGGCTTCATATTGGGGGCGAGACTGTGCCTAAAGGGCTTTCTTGTCTTGTGGAACTCGCTGCCACAAGGAGGGGGAAGCCTCAACTCCGGATTGATTGGGGGGGGGAGACTATGCGGAGGGGGAAGCCTGAACCCCAAATTGGGGGCGAGACTGTGCCTAAAGGGCTTTCTTGTCTTGTGGAACTCCCTGCCACAAGGAGGGCGAACCCTCAACCACAGATTTTGGGGGGGGGGAGGCTGTTAAAGGGGCTTGTTCTGTGGAACTCGCTGCCACAAGTAGGGCGAACCCTCAACCCCTGATTTGGGGGGGGGGAGGCTGTGTTAAAGGGTTTTGTTCTGTGGAATTCACTGCCACAAGGAGGGGGAACCCTCAACCCCAGATTGGAGTGGGGGGAGAGACTATGCGGAGGGGGAACCCTCAACCCCAGACTGGGGGCGAGACTGTGCCTAAAGGGCTTTCTCGTCTTGTGGAACTCACTGCCACAAGGAGGGTGGAGGCTGTGTTAAAGGGGCTTGTTGTCATGTGGAACTCACTGCCACAAGGAGGGGGAAGCCTCAACCCCAGATTGGGGGCGAGACTGTGCCTAAAGGGCTTTCTTGTCTTGTGGAACTCACTGCCACAAGGAGGGGGAAGCCTCAACCCCAGACTGGGGGGGAGGCTGTGTTAAAGGGGCTTGTTGTCCTGTGGAACTCACTGCCACAAGGAGGGGGGAAGCCTCAACCCCAGATTGGGGGCGAGACTGTGCCTAAAGGGCTTTCTTGTCTTGTGGAACTTGCTGCCACAAGGAGGGGGAAGCCTCAACCCCAGATTGGGGGGGGGAGAGACTATGCTGAAGGGCCTTGTTGTCTTATGGAACTCACAGCCACAAGGAGCGGGAACTCAGACTAGAGGTGGGGGGGGGGAAGGCTGTGGCTAAGGGGTCTAAACTGAAGCTATCGTACTTTGGTCACAATATGAGAAGAGTCACCAGGAAAGACACTCATGCTAGGTAGAGTTGAAGGCAGCCGGAAAAGAGGAAGACCCAACAGGAGATGGATGGACTCCCATCAGGGAAGCCGTGGCCCTCAGTTTGCAAGATCTGAGCAAGGCTGATAACAATCAAATGAGTTGGAGAACTTTCATGAGTCACGGCTTCCTTCTTCAGATACAGCGAGAATGCCAGTGATTCCAGCTGTATCTGAAGAAGTGAGTGGTGACTCACGAAAGCTCCTCCCCTGCCACGAATGTTGTTAGTCTTGAAGGGGCTTACTGGACTCTCGCTCTTTTCTACACCTGCTATTGTAATAGCACCTGAATTCACACCACTCTCCAAGATATAAGGACAGACGGACTCACACATTCTAGCCGTATCTGAAGAAGTGAGTGGTGACTCACGAAAGCTCCTCCCCTGCCACGAATGTTGTTAGTCTTGAAGGGGCTTACTGGACTCTTGCTCTTTTCTACTGGTCTTTTCTACTGCTGGAGCTGCGGTGGCTCAAGTGGTTAAGACGCTGAACTGCAGGCTGTGGAAGGTCGGTAGTTCAGCAGTTCGAGACCCGGGTTGCCGCATGACGGAGTGAGCTCCCGTCTCTAGTTCCAGCTCCTGCCAACCTAGCAGTTCGAAAGCAAGACATTGCAAGTAGATAAATAGGTACCACTTCGGTGGGAAGGTAACAGCGTTCCGTGCGCCTTGGTGTTTAGTCATGCTGGCCACGTGACCACGGAAACGTCTTCAGTCAGCGCTGGCTCTTCGGCTTTGAAACGGAGATGAGCACCGTAACCCTAGAGTCGGATTCGACTGGCTTTCGAGCAAGGGAAACCTTTACCTTTTACCTTTCTACTGCTGCAGTATGAGCCTTTGGGAGTCTTTGAAATCGCTTGTAAGAAGTTATTCTTTGAAGATTTTCCTGAAAGCTGGAAGGGTTGGAGGTTGCCAGGCAGACTGTTCCGCAAAGACAGAGTAGCTGCCGAAGTAACCTGAGCCCTGTAGTGGCCAACAGAACCACTAGTCAGGTAGGCCAAGCTGAGACCTCATGACCCACGTTAAGATCACCCAGCAAGCGATTGAGGGTTTGAACATGGAGCTCCCAGATAGATGTAGTGGTTAAGTGCGCGGACTCTAATCTTGGAGATCCGGGTTTGATCCCCCACTCCTCCACTTGCACCTGGCTGGATGACCTTGGGCAAGCCGTAGTTCTGACAAGAGCTGTTCTTGAAAAAAGAGCAGTTTTTGTCAAGAGTTCTCTCAGCCCCACCCACCTCACAGGGTGTCTGTTGTGGGGAGGGGAAGGTAACAGAGTTTGTAAGCCGCTCTGAGACTCCTTCGGGTAGTGATGGGCGAGGTATAAATCCAATCTCTTATCTTCTTTTATCTGCCCCTTAATTTCATGGAGTGCCCAACGACTTCTTGTACGGTGAGGAAGGGAAGCCCGCAAGCAGGCTCAGGGCGGCTTACATTCCTTGGCACAGTGTACCAAGTGCATATAAAACAGTTAAAACCATTTAAAACAAACCGATTTACAGTTAAAGTGCTCACAGTGTTATTAAATCAAGATGGCGTACCATACAGTGTGGCATCAAAGCACCCAGCTCAGCGGTCTCCCAGTATATCAAGCTAATATGGCTCACTTTCACCGACGGGCAGCCCAACACCCCTGATGTTAATAGTGGACGTTGGTAGTAGTGGGGGGCAGCTACTAATTGAAGGCCTGGTGGAAGAGCTCCGTCTCGCAGGCCCTGTGGAATTGCAGAAGATCCCGCAGGGCCCTGATCTCTGGGAGCTCATTCCACCAGTAAGGAGCCGCCACCTTCACTACCTTCTCTATCCCATGCACAATTCTGTAAACCTCTATCCTGTCACCCCCCTCAGTCGTCGTCTCTCCAAGCTAAAGAGCCCCAACCTCTTCAGCCTTCCTTCATAGGGAAAGGGTCCCATCCCCTTCATCATTTCCGTGGCCCTTTTCTGTACCGAATTCTGCCGGCCTCGACTTGATTTCCATACGCCCTTGTTTTCAAAATGCAGAAAATCGGTTTTCGGGGCCGTGTGGGTTTTCCGCGGGTCTGTTCTGTGTACCCCTTTTCAATTCCATTCTCCCCGCCTTTTCTTTTCCCTCGCCACATTCCAGGCGTCCACCGACAGCTCCTGTACACTACCGTGGGCTTTTATGTCGGCCACTACATGGCCAGGCGAGCGGCCTACTTCTATGCGAAAAGGGACCTAGACATTGCAGAGTACATCCGGACTCATCCAGAGGATTTCAAGGACAAGAGTAAGTTTGTGCTCAGCCGCTTCAGACGGGTCTGTGGGTGGAAGGCAGCTGGGCCGCCCGGTATATATCTTACGGCTTTTGCTTGAAACATAAGAACATAAGAGACGCCAATGTTGGATAAGGCCAAAGGCCCATCCAGTCCAACACTCTGTATCCCACAGTGGCCAGAAATACCAGGTGCCATCAGGAGGTCCACCAGTGGGGCCAGGACATTAGAAGCCCTCCCACTGTTGCCCCTCCCCCCAAGCACCAAGAAGACAGAGCATCACTTGCCCCAGAGCCCCTATCTATACCTTGTGGCTAATAGCCACTGATGGACCTCTGCTCCATATGCTTATCTAATTCCCTTTTGAAGCCGTCCATGCTTGTAGCTGCCACCACTTCCTGTGGCAGTGAATTCCAAGTGTTAATCACTCTTTGGATGAAGAAGTACTTCCTTTTATCCGTTCTAACCCGACCGCTCAGCAATTTCATGGAGTGCCCACAAGGAGTTCTTGTATTGTGAGGAAGGGAGAAAAGTACCTCTTTCTCTACCTGCTCTTTCCCATGCATAATCTTATAAACCTCAATCATGTCACCGCTCAGTCGTGGAATAAGTTGAGCCAGTTATGCCAGTTGTGGAGATGGTACTTGATTTATATCACGTGGGATCAGACACATGGCTGATTTTCCAAACGCATCCCGCCCCCGCCCTGACATGGATGGACCAAGGCTCGTCTGTTCTCAGCAGATCTCAGAAGCGGGGTCGGCCCTGGTTAGTATTTAGATGGGAGATCTCCAAGGAACCCCAGGGGTGTGAGGCAGGCAATAGCAGACCACTTCTACTGTCAGCAGTTCTCCAGGGTCTCAGGCAGAGAAAGATTCTTCTGTTCTCATCCTCTATTTTATTTTATTGACTGATTGATTAACTTTTTTTGACCGCCCTTCCCTGCTTGCGTGGGGCTCGGGGCAGTTCACAACAATTTAATTCGGTAACAGTGTTAACTGGAGATGCCGGGGACTGAACCTCTGACCTTCTGCATGCAAGTCAGATGCTTTGCTGCCGAGCCACAGTCTGTCCTGTCATTATTAACTGCCCATTTGCAAGCCTGTTGAGCACAAAAATGCCACAAGAGGGGGCAGGAAACCCATTTGGTTTTTTACCCGCCTACCATTTTTCTTCTCACCTTGACACAGAGAGTACTCCATCCTTCTGTGTGATACCTCTGAGGATGCCAGTCACAGCTACTGGCAAAACGTCAGGGACTACAATGCCAAGACCACGGCCACGCAGCCCGGGAAATCTACCACCACTAACAAAGCCGTGGGATTGTTTCATTGCATTGCCAAATTGTTGTTGCGGAATTTTTGATTCCTGCTCACACTTTGCATGATTTCTTTGGTTCTGGGTAGATTTAGGGTTAGAAACTCTTAATTTGTTTTGCCTCATCTTCTGAGGAAACGTGTTTCTTTAACTGTTTGGTGTTCAAACGCTCATGAATCGGCGTCTTCAACAGCATTCTTCCTTTTTTTTTCCCATAGAAAAAAGAAAAATGGCCGAGGTGCTGGAGGACTTCCATCCCATTCGCTGAAGCCTTGGCAGACTCCCACAGTGACTCGGTCTCCAGCACCCCTTTCTAAGTTATCCCGCCCCCCCGCCGCCTGTGGATTTGCATAGATTGTATATCTCCGTAGAGGCAAAGTACCTGATCGAAACGTGTACCTGATTGAAATGCAAAGACCACCATTGGGTCAATAAAATGACAAACAGAAGTACCAGAGGCTTTTATGATTGTGAGTGTGGGTCTGCAAAGACCACCATTGGGTCAATAAAATGACAAACAGAAGTACCGGAGGCTTTTAAGAACATAAGAGACGCCAATGTTGGATCAGGCCAAAGGCCCATCCAGTCCAACACTCTGTGTCACACAGTGGCCAGAAATACCAGTGCCATCAGGAGGTCCAGCAGTGGGGCCAGGACATTAGAAGCCCTCCCACTGTTGACCCCCCCCCCCAAGCACCAAGAAGACAGAGCATCACTTGCCCCAGAGCCCCTATCTATACCTTGTGGCTAATAGCCACTGATGGACCTCTGCTCTATATACTTATCTAATTCCCTTTTGAAGCCGTCCATGCTTGTAGCCGCCACCACTTCCTGTGGCAGTGAATTCCATGTGTTAATCACTCTTTGGGTGAAGAAGTACTTCCTTTTATCCATCCTAACCCGATCACTCAGCAATTTCATTGAGTGCCCACGAGTTCTTTTATTGTGAGAAAGGGAGAAAAGTACCTCTTTCTTTACCTGCTCTTTCCCATGCATAATCTTATAAACCTCGATCATGTCACCCCTCAGTCGTCTTTTCTCCAAGCTAAAGAGCCCTAAGCGCTTTAACCTTTCCTCATAGGGAAAGTGTTCCAACCCTTTTATCATTCGAGTTGCCCTTTTCTGCACTTTTTCCAAAGCTATAATATCCTTTTTAAGGTGTGGTGACCAGAACTGCACACAGTATTCCAAATGAGGTCTCACCATTGATTTATATAGGAGGAGGGCAAGGAACTGTTCCAGTTGGCAGCAGAGGAGAGGACCCGAAGCAACGGGTTTGAATGACATGCAGAAAGGTATCGGTTGGGTATTAGGAAACGCTTTTTCACGGTCAGAGTGGTTCAAAGGTAGAACCAGCTGCCTGGGGAGGTGGTGAGCTCCCCTTCACTGGCAGCTTTCAAGAAGAGGCCGAACGAATATTTGTCAGAGATGCTTTAGGCTGGTCCTGCATTGGGCAGGGGGTTGGACTAGATGGTCTGTATGGACCCTTCCAACTCTATGATTCTGTGATTTTAAATGGTTCTCCATAACCATGTGTGAATCTTCAAGATCCAGTCTCTTGCCTGAGCTAGGACCCCTTGAGTACACAGTTTAGTTGTGGGTGCCAGCACTCCAGTCTGCATCAGCCGCATGATGTCATACAGAAGGGGGATGACATGTGTGCCCCCAAGCCAGGAATAAGTTAAACCCAATTCAGGCGTCTCAAACAAGTGAGCCAAGCTCCATTATACAAAGGAAGGGTTATTAACCTTGAGGGTTGTTAAGCATTCTGATTTGTTGACATCCAAGGTGTCTGTCCTAGGAAAGCCCCACCCGTAAGACCTTTCGTTCCCACCTGGTGTTGCCGGACAGTGCTGGGGAGTGGTTAATAGCATTGGACTAGGATTTGGGTTCAAATTTGGGTTCAGATATTCCCTGTGCTCCTCACTGGGTGGCCTTGGGCCAGTTGCGCTGTCTTGGTCTGACCAGGGTCAAAGTGGTGGAATGATTAAGGTGCTGGACTTAGATCTGGGAGGGATGAATTCAAACTTCCCCCTCTGCCATGAAGCTCACTGGGCCTGTCAGTCTCTCTCAACTGAGCCTACCTCACAGGGTTGTTGTGCATATAAAACGAGGAGGGCTGACTACGTACGCCACCCAGAGCTTCTCAGAGGAAGGGACAGATAAAAATGCACCTCTTTAAAATGGTTGTTTTCAACCTTCCCGGCCTCAGGCCCTAGTGAGGCGGTGACAGGAAGTCATGTGGCTTCAGAATCATGTGACAGGAAGGGGGGAGATCAGTGTTAGGATCATACCAGAAGAGCCGGGAGCAGGAGATACAAGATGATCGCTGAGAGTTGTGCAACAGCGAGGGGCCAGCCAAGGCTGAGAGCTGGAGAGGAATACTCCACCACTGTGTTGTCCTGCAACTTAGCATGTAGGGGGGAACAAGAAACACGGCACCCTTGTTTGGCGTAGTGGTTAAGAGCACGGACTCTAATCATGGCAGCCGGTTTGGTGTAGTGGTTAAGAGCACAGACTTTAAAATGGGAGAAACAGGTGTGATTCTCCACATGCAGCTGTTGGGTGACCTTGGGTCAGTCACAAGTTCTCTCAGTAGCTGAACATAGCCTAACTCAAACAGGACACAGTATCTTATTCCCAGACACTGAAAGGCTGGACAGCACATCCAATTACCATGTCAGATTACACAGGGAAGCCATTGAAATTCATAAACATAAATACAATTTCAACAGGAAAGAAGGGAGTTTAAAAATAAACAAATGGGGCATGGTTTCCTGTCCTGAAAAACACAAAATGCTCTACATCTTACAACAGCACTACAGATAAGATTAGAATTTCAACAGCCAATCCATATGCAAAAGAACCTCCTCAGGAAAGCTCCTCCATTAGCATGTAACAGCCTGGGGAACTCCTGCAAGATAATGACTCAGCCCTACCCCACCTTCCTGAGTAGATATAAATTACCTGCCTGCCATTTTTCTTCTCACCTTGACACAGAGAGAGCGCCGTCTTTCTGTATTACACCTCTGAGGATGCCTGTCACAGCTGCTGGCGAAACGTCAGGTACTACAATGCCAAGACGACGGCCACACAGCCTGGAAAATCTACAAGTCATCTCTCAGAGCAGTTCTCTCAAGAGCAGTCCTTGAAGGAGCTCTCTCAGCCCCACCTACCTCACAGGGTGTCTGATGTGTGGAGAGGAAGGGAAGGAGATCATAAGCTGCTCTGTGACTCCGAGTAAGAGGCAGGGTATAAATCCAATCTCTTTTTGCATTCTATTCAATAGATCTTTCCTTCCTGAAGCAGTTACATTGGCTTCCGAGCCCATTTCAAGGCGCCGTTTTTGACCTTTGAAGCCCTGTGTGGCTTGAGATTGGGGTGTGTGAAGGACTGTCTTCTATATGTCCTTGCCCAGGAACTAAGAACACAGGGAGAGGCCCTCTTGACTGTCCCTTCGACCAGAGAAGCTTGTCTGGTGGGAGATGAGACGGGGCCTTTTCAGTAGTAGCCCCCTGCTGATGGAACAACCTCCCCAGGGAGGTGCACCTGGCCCCCTCACTCTTGCGCTTTAGGAAGCAGCTGAAGACCGTTTTTTCCAGGACGGCATTTGATTAGCTCTTCCGCCTTTGTATCAGTTTTAACTTGTGGTTTTTATGTTACGTTGGTCCTTTCTGCATTCGGATCTCATCCCTGGTTTTTATCAGCGTTCAACTCGAAACACAATACCGTGCATTTATCCCTGGTTATAACAGCCTCCGTTTATCCCAGGATGAGTGTGGAGTGAAACCGGGTGACCTCAATGTTATGTGGAAACAAAAAATACCCAGAGATAATCACAGGGGTGAACTCGAGTGTAGTGTAGAACGTTACGTTCAGGGACAGGGTTGAACCAGGATTTAAGGTCTAGAGCGGAAAGGACCATTGTCAGCCATCTTTAGTTCCTATAAGGTAGAAATGCAGGTAACGTTTCAAATAAGGCGCACACACCCCCAATGGGAGTTGTACGAGAGTTCAGGACCCACAAAGTCCCAGTCCATTGGCTGAAGACCACTGTTTTAGATGGAAACCCATAGGCAGAAACACTTGTGTGTTGGCGGTCCCCAGTTTGATCACCAGCAACTCTGGTTAAAGGGATCTTAAAACAGCGGGGCAGGGCAAGGCACCTCTTTCGACACCCAGATCCAGGACCAGGCAGTAGGGGAGGTGAAGGACTCCAGAGAAAGCTGCTGCCAGTCTGAATAGACAATACTGACCATAATAGACCACTAATCTCATTTAGGTTTGTTTAGACATGGGTGTGGCTCAGTGGCAGAGCCTCTGCTTGGCATGCGGAAGGTCCCCGGTTCAATCCCCGGCATCTCCAGGTAAAAGGACCAGGCAGGAGGTGATGGGAAAGACCTTGACCTGAGACCCTGCCTCAGTGGCAGAGCCTCTGCTTGGCATGCAGACGTTCTCCAGTTCAATCCCTGGCATCTCTAGGTAAAAGGACCAGGCAGGAGGTGATGGGAAAAACCTTGACCTGAGACCCTGCCTCAGTGGCAGAGCCTCTGCTTGGCATGTGGAAGGTCCCCGGTTCAATCCCCAGCATCTCCAGGTAAAAGGACCAGGCAGAAGGTGATGGGAAAGACCTTGACCTGAGACCCCGGCTCAGTGGCAGAGCCTCTCCTTGTCACGCAGAAGGTCCCCAGTTCAATCCCCAGCATCTCCAGGTAGAAGGACCAGGCAGGAGGTGATGGGAAAAACCTTGACCTGAGACCCTGCCTCTGTGGCAAAGCCTCTGCTTGGCATGCAGAAGGTCCCCGGTTCAATCCCCGGCATCTCCAGGTAAAAGGACCAGGCAGGAGGTGATGGGAAAGACCTTGACCTGAGACCCTGGCTCAGTGGCAGAGCCTCTGCTTGGCATGCGGGAGGTCCCCGGTTCAATCCCTGGCATCTCCAGGTAAAAAGGACCAGGCAGTAGGGGATGGGAAAGACCTTGACCTGAGACCCCGGCTCAGTGGCAGAGCCTCTCCTTGTCATGCAGAAGTTCCCCAGTTCAATCCCCAGCATCTCCAGGTAAAAGGACCAGGCAGGAGGTGATGGGAAAGACCTTGACCTGAGACCCCAGCTCAGTGGCAGAGCCTCTCCTTGTCATGCAGAAGGTCCCAGGCTCAATCTCCAGCATCTCCAGGTAAAAAGGACCAGGCAGTAGGGGATGGGGGAGACCTCTCTGCCTGAGACTCTGGAGAGACACTGCCAGTCTGAGTAGACAATACTGACCATGATGGACCAAGGTCCTGATTGAGTATAAGACAGCATACGTTCAAGTACAGTGCCTGCCCCATGCCAGAACATGCATTATAGCATGGTGCACATTGAGATAGACTTCCACATCTATGTCTGCTTGTCAGGATCCACCGCAAAACAACAAAGTACACGCTTCCGGGAAGGTTTTACTTTTATT